GTCTTGGGCCGTCTTTGGGGGGTTCCGTGAGCCTCACAGGACGACCCGTTTGGGCCGTCGTGGGCCCTCTTGGGTCTCTATTGGGCTGTCTTGGGGCTCGGGGGCGTCTGGGGCACTGTGAGGACCAAGCAAACGAGCATGCTGAAAACGCAGGCTTTACGAATGGGAATGGGTAAAGTTTTGCCTCTTGAAGACCCTCTTGGGGCCCTCCTCGGCCATCTTCAAGCCATCTCGGGCGCTGTTGGGGCGCTCTTGAGCGTCTTGGGGCCCTCTTGGGCCTCGCTGAGGCTGTCTTGTGGGTCTCTTGGGCTGTCTTTGGGGCCTCATGGGCCGTCTTGGGCGGGTTCGTGGACCCCACAGGACGCCCGGGGCGGCCATGCCAACCGGTGGCACCACCCCACCCCCGTCCCCGGGCCCCGTCCGTCTGTCCAAACCCTCGTTCCCTAACCTCCCGATCATGTTCCCGGACCCCCGTCCCTTCCCCCCACCCCAGAGCACCGCAGCAGTAGGAAAGCGTTCCGAAATGGTGAGAAATCATGTTCCCGGAAAGCGTTCAAGAATATGAATTGTACTTCGTCCAAGGCGCCTCGGAAGGCGCAGAATACTCCTCCAAGGCGCGGAATCATGTTCCCGGACCGCCTTCCGGGAACATGATGGGGACGACCTCCTGAGGGCCTCCAGTGGGCCTCTTGGGGGCCTCTCGGAGGCCTGTTGGGCTCTCCGGGAGGCGTCTTGGGGCGCGCTCAGGGCCATGTTTGAGCATCTTTGGGGCCTCTTGGGGGCCTCCAGGGAGGCTCGTGGGGGCCTGTTTGGGGCCTCTTGGGGCCTTGCGGGGCCCTCTTGGGGCCCGCTGGGCTCACTTAGGCAATCTTGAAGCACTGTCGGGGCTCTCCTGGAACCGTCTTGGGCGGCTCCTGGGCCATCTTGGGGCTCTCCTGGGCCGTCTTGGGACGATTTTGGGGGTCTCTTGGGCCGTCTTGGGGCGGTCTTGGGGGCCTCTTCGGCCGTCTTGGAGCGGTTTTGGAAGACTCTTGGACGGTCTTGGAGCGTCGGAACCCTGAAAAAGCGAGAAGGCCCAAAGCCTAGAAAAAAACCATCAAAATCAACGATTTTGGCTTGTCGCGGCTCTCTCGGGAGGCCTCTTGGGATGCCTTCGGGGCCTCATGGGGTTCTCTTGGAACGTCTTCGGGGTTTCCTGGCCATCTATACGCGTCTTGGAGTGCTCGCGGGCCGTTTTCGGCGGTCTCGATCTGTTCCTGGCGGTCCCAGGGGCCCTCCGGGACGCTTCGGACGCTCCCGGGGGCGCCCTGCACCCCCCATGGAGATTACAGGCACCGCCCCGGGCCGCCCCCGGGCCCGACTCCGATATATATATATATATATATATATATATATATATATATATATTGCATCATCTTTTTTCCAGTATCTGCTTGATGAACGGAGCCTGGCACAGGACAGCTTTGGCAGGCGGCAAAGGCCCGCGGCAAAAGAGAATTCTGGAGGCAACGGGCTGGCATTGGGAGCCAGAAAGACTATGGAGCGGGGCTGAAACGGAACTGTGCGATGCAAACTCGTTCAACAACGTACATGCATCATCTTTTTTCCAGTATCTGCTTGAGGAACGGAGCCTGGCACAGGACAGCTTTGGCAGGCGGCAAAGGCCCATCTACAACAAAGCGCAGCACCCATCAGCAAGCATTGCACTGGCTTAGCCGCGAAGTAACATCCATTTTCGGGAGACCATCCTGGCGACAATCGTTTGCGAGAACATTCGAGCAAGTTGCCTGCAGATGGCGTCGGGATAGGCGGCCTTCTGGTGAGTGCGGAAGTGAGTGGCACCGCTTTCCTTCCCAGACAGCTCAAGATGAGGCCGACCAGAAAATTCACACACACACACACCACGGCCATGACACTTCATAGACAAGAAAGAAGGGGAGGGGCGACAATGCAAGAATTGGAACTTAGTGCGAGCTCGAAAGGGCCGACCTGCAGCACGCTGGTCAACAATTGCTTCGAAGAAGAAAGGAGAGTGATGCCGGCGAGTTCTGTCTGGAAAATGCCAAAGCCAACTGCTGCAGGGATTCTCTTCACCGACAGGAATGCCAAACTTTGCAGCTAGCTGCCAGATCTGCCCCGCTCGGGAGGCGAGCAGGTTGCCGAGCTCAAGCTTGGCCTGATCGGCAGCAGCTAAGTTTGGCAAGCCAAGGATGTGAGAGCCGTCGCGAAGGCGCCGAGGCATGCGAGAAGTGGGGCCGCCTCGTCGCGCTTGAGAAAGCGACCCACAAGGCGTGCCCATGAAAATAGCCTTGACTTTGCCGCTGGCAATCCAGCCGCGAAGCACAGCCCACGGCGCAGGCTGGGCAAGATCAAACTCTTGCCCGTGCAGGACATTCCCATTCAATGACTGCATGCCCTGCCTGCCGCAGGTGTCGCGCAAGGTTGCCAGAGCCACTGAAGAGTTCAATGAAGATGCGGGAGTCATGACCTTTGCTACTCATCACCGCTGAGGCGAGTACAGCTTGAAGGCGGCGTCGAGTCCAGCGGCCAAACGTTCGATCTCCTGCCGCTGGTGGGCTGGAATCTTCATCCACTCGATCGACACTCGCCCGTGCTTGTCGTAGCGCCGCACGCTGTTGAAGGCGCGCCAGTTTCCTCGCTGCTGCACCTCCATTAGCGCGCGGCTGGCCGTCAGGCGGTCGTGGCTGGCGCCGCCGTGCCTGAGGCTGTAGAGCGTGCCTGCTAAACAGCTGGCTCCCACAGCCGCGAGCGCCTGGCCAAACCGCCGCTGGAGGAGGTTGTAGTCGAAGTCCCACAGCGGGTGCCAGGAGCCCAGGCGGGAGTCGCGCAGGCGCGCCAAGGCCCAAGCCAGGACCTGCTGGCGCGGGAGGTCGAGCACAACGGTATGGTCCATCTCGCCCGTCTTGCCCGGTTGCTGCAACTCTGCAGCATGCACCACTACTGACATGTGTGAGCCCGCGCTGGTGGCCGAGCCGAAAGGGCCGGTGAGCTGGGCGGCCCGCAGCGCCAGCGCCTCCGAGGGTCTCAGGTAGCCCTCGAACATCAGCATGACGCACAAGGCGGTCGCAAACTCGCCCTGGTGCCCAAGCCAAGCTGCCGCTGCGCGAATCGCAAGCTCTGGAAGAGGCGGGCGCGAGCCTGGCGGACGCAGGCGCTTCCAAACCGCCAGCGAGTGCGCGAGCTGCGGGAAGCATCTCTGCAAGGGCGCCACGTGGAGCTGCGGGAGCCCCCACAGCACCGCGGCGCCAAGCCTTGCAGCCGTTGCCCGCGCCACTCCCTGGTCGAAGGCCCACAGCAGGAAGTCGGCCAACGCTGCGTCCCAAGCAGCCACGGGCCAGTCGGGCAGGGCGTCCACCATGAGCCAGCCTGCCAGCAGCCGCAACACCTTCAGGTAGAGCACCTGAGTGGGCGGCCGCACCTTGTTGGCTGCCAGAAAGCCCTGGCGGGGCAGCAAGCGGGCCCGCTCCTGGGCGGAAGGCGGCGGCAGCTGCGCTCTGCTCCTTGCGGATCCGCCACCACCAACGGCTCGCTTCCGGGTCGGCGAAGCGCCTCCCACCTCTGGCAGGCTTGGCTGGCCGAGCGGCGGAGCTGCCTGGAGCGTGCGGACCTCCTGCATGGCCACTGCTGCAGTGACGCCTGAACTGGTCCCCGTGCTTGGGCCAAGACGGCTCCGGACCAGACTGGAACCGTCTTGACGGGCCATCAGCAGGGTTTAGCTCTGAGGGGATCCATCTGAACGTGACCTTGAGATTGCAGGCGACCGATATGGCGTAGGAACAACGGCAGCCTGACAAGAGACCAAAGTCGGATGCACGACCCTTTTCATGGGCGCAAACCATCGACATGTTGTCGCCCAAGCCCAGCAAGCGATGCCCGTGACATCTCGAATTGCGAGAGGCGCGCCGCAGCCAGAGAAGCCCTGCTGAGCTCTCCAGCCTGTGGATAGTACTTTGGCGCCTCCATCTGCATGCAACAGCCGTGATCCAGGTCGCCTCACGCAGCAGCTCTGCGCTCACCTCGGCGAAACCCGCCGCGCGCCCGAGCAGGAGTGCGGCTGGGTCAGAGAGCTCGATGCTGTCGGCGGCCAGGGCAGCGTCCCGCGGCGCCACCAGCGAGGCGAGGGGCCCGCGAAAGCGCAGCTTCTCCGGCTGCCTGCCCGCGGCCTGCACCGCGCTCAAAGGCCAGCGCGCCGTGCAGACTCCCGCGCCCCAAGGCGACGCGTCAAAGGCACCTACCTCAGAGTGCCAAGGCCTCTTCATGTCGGCGAACACCGTGGGCAACAACGCAAGCACCCACCTGAGCTCGCGTCGGCAGCTGGGCCACAGCGGCTGCGCCCTGTCGTAGGTCGAGCGGATGAAGACGTAGACCGCACTGAGGAGGCTGAGAGCCTCACGCCGCAGCAGCAGCAGCGCGACCACGTGCCCCACGAGCCTCTCCAACTGGCGCCCCGTGATGCGCCTTCCTGGCTCCAGCAAGTGCGAGATGCAGCCGTGCACCCTCCAAAACTTCTTGGGTGCGGGGCGCCACCTGGCGGCCTTAGAGTCCAGCGTGAAGCCGAGGAGGACGACGTCCAAGTCAAGCGACGCCCTGACGCCCTCACTGGTGAACGAGCCAAACATGTCGTTGACAACTTGCAACGCTGTCTCGCGACTGGTGCTGATGGCCGCAAAGTTGTCTATGTACAAGACCTTGGCTGCAGCTGAGCTGTCCGAGAGGCACGTCCCAGGCTGCTTGTCCACCAACCACTGGTTGTTCGGAGAGACCGAGGCCAGCACGTTCAGGTGGGCAGACTGCACCAAGTGGACGGCCCAGTTCCATCCCATGGGAACGACTCGCACGCGGAAGGCTATCCTGGGCCGCGCCGCAAGCTCAGGCCCCAGCGCCTCGCGCAGGCGGGCAGGCAGCATGCGAGTCGTCAGGCTCGGCAGGCATAAGTAGTTCCTGGCCCATGCGGGCAGCACGCACTGGTAAAAGCAGACCTCCACGTCACCCGCCGCCAAGTGCACCTCCTCGCCGGGCGTGCGCTCCAAGCTGCTGAGGGCGTCGCCGGAGGCCAAGTGCGTGTACTCGGGCGTCCTGAAGTGACAGTTCGCCCTCCTGGTGTCGAAGATGAGCCTCAGCTTGTCATCTTTGCGAGGCGCAGAAAAGACGCCAGTCTCGTCCTTCCGATCCAACTCATAGTCCAAAACAACAACGATCCCTGCAGCGTAAAGCTCGAGCAAGAAACGTCCGTAGTCAATGCCCCGTTGGGCCAGCTTGCCGTCCACGTAACACGTGACGTCAGCCTCCTCCAGAGCAGCAGTAGCCTCCTGCTCCGAGCGCAATAACCCGTGCCCGGACTCCAGCGCTGACTGCAGGTGCGGGGGCAGTAGCCGAACAAGATCGACACGCCCAGCACCGCCCGAAGGAAGGGAGACCCCCCCGCGCTGGTAGCCGGCTCTCGCCCCGATGGCTGGCTCATCAGCATAGCCAGGTCGAAGCCCCAGAAGCGCCTGGAACGCCTCCTGGTTGGTGCAATCCTCAGTCTTTGGCGGGGCCGCGGCGTAGACCTCACCCAGATGCTGCAACGCGGAGCGCTGCGCCAAGCTAAGCCGCCCGCCGCTGTCAGCCAACCGTCCACCCCCACCCAGCTCGTTGAGCGCCGCGACGCCTTCCAGCATCCAGCGCTCCTGGCGCCTGCAGCGCGCGACCTTGCGCCGCTGCCCCAGCGAGAGCTCGCCGTCGAGGGCCGAGAACCCCTTCAAGCACTGGAGCGCCTCCGAGCTGAGCGGGATGGGCAGCGCGCCCCTTTGCGCGAGACCGTCATCGCCAAAACCCAGCGAGGTGGCATCGTCGTCCAGCACGCCTCGCCCCCCCTGCAAACTCGCGCCGAGGCCGGGGGCACCCCCGGCGCGAGGGGGCGCCTCAGGCGCCACGGCCGCGCCCGCGGCCGCGCGCCTTAGCCTTGGCACCCGCCGATGGTTCGCCAGAGGCCGCGCCGCCGTCGACGCCGCGCTCCAGCAGTCTTTCTTCTCGCCCCTTCCTGCGCTCCTTGAGGATGGCACTTTCCTCTCGGAGCTTCTCAGCCACCCAGCTCTCCAAGGCGGGGCAGACAAGCGCCGAGCCGCGGCTCCTGTCCTGCCCGAGGAAGATGGATCGCTCATCGAGCCAGGGTGCAGCGTCCTGACCAGCCTCGGCTTCGCGCAAGCTCGAGGCGCACAGCTCCTCCCAGAGCTGGTAGCGGCGGCAGAGGATCTCCACCACCACCAGCTCGCCAGCGTTGAGCTGGTCGTAGGTGGTGAGCTCCTGCAGCACCTCGGAGATGAAGTGGTGGTCGTCCACGCCCGAGTCGGAAGCTGTGAGCCCCTGGATCGACCTCCACCAGAAATGCCTCTGCAGCGGCGTGTAGCCCGCCTCCGAGATCTTCTCGAGCAGCCAGGCCGCGGTCCTCGGCCCCTTGATGCGCCAGTCTGGGAAGGGCGCGGTGGACATCTTGGCCACGGCGTCGTGGAAGGACCGGGAGCGGCCACCAGCTGGCGAGTAGAGCACCGGCAGCGTGCGAAGGTCTCCCCCGCTGCTGGAGAGCGCTGCCGCCCCTGCCTCCAGGGCGTTGGCCACTGCGACCGCGAGCGAGACGCCCGACGCCAGCACCACGACCCCGCGATCGCCCAGCACGACCTGCGGCTGGCCATCCGCTCCCAGGAGCTCAGGCGGGATAGGGGCCCCGGCCGTGAAGCCCCCACGCGTCTCCGCCGAGAGCCAGACCGCGTCTGCTGGCGGCGCCGTGGGCCGCGGCGGTGCTGGGGCGAGGAGAGCGCCTGCCGCGGGTGCCCTAGGCGGCGCGGCCGGCGCCGCCGCCAGAGCGCCGGCCGCAGCCTCGCCTCCAGCCGCTGGCCCGGCGGGCCGTGCGGCGGCCGCCAGCGCCGCGGGGGCCGGCGCCTCGGCAAGCGCCTCCGCCTCGCCGTCGGCGAGCACCCCCTGGTGCGCCGCTGGGGCCAGCAAGCCCTCCTCCTCGCGGATGTCCAATGCCATCTGCGCCGCCTCGTCGCACAGCTGCTGCAACTCGGCGCTGAGGCGAGCGTTGTCCACCCGCAAGATCTGCCCCTGTGGCCTCGGCACGGGAAGGCCGCCCCGAGGGCCCAGCGGCAGCAGGCGGAGCGCCTGGGACATATCCTCATCATAGATGTCCCAGTGCGCGGTGAGCACCACGAAGCGGAAGTCCTGAATGTGCGCCAGCATGATCCTCTCATGCCAGTAGTCATCGCGCGGATCGTAGTAGGCGAGGGCCCTCGACCCCACCTGCAGGCTCTGCAGGCAGCGCAGCGTGCGTTCTGCTGGGCTGCGGGCCGCCATCCAATCCTAGTCTCGGCGCACGCGAGGCCCTCTTCCACAAGAACCCGGCTGTCGCTGCCGAGAGCACACCTGCGAGCAGCCCCGCAATGAAGGTGCCCAGCGCGAACGACGGCTCGGGGCACTGCAGCAACGGACAGCTCGGGCACGCAGGGCAATTGAGCTGCTCTGGACCGCAGCGCTCCAGCTGACGTCCAAGCAGACTCACGATGTCGCTGCTGACCTGGCAATCCGCGATGCAATGGCAGTCGGGACAGCGTGCAACTGAAAGGAGGGGGGCCCACGGAGCGACGGCCTGCAAGCCCCGCAGGGCCAAGTCCATGAACCAGAAAGACTATGGAGCGGGGCTGAAACGGAACTGTGCGATGCAAACTCGTTCAACAACGTACAATATATATATATATATATATATATATATACAAATACATATACATATACCTATGTACATATATACATTTGTGTGTATATATATATGGAAACATACGTAAGACATGTAGGATTGTGTACACAGGAGAAGGACAATATATAGAAACATACGTACGTCATCCAACGCGCCTCGGAAGGCGCCTCGGAAAGCGCAGAATACTCCTCCAAGGCGCGGAATCATGTTCCCGGACCGCCTTCCGGGAACATGACGGGGACGACCTCCTGAGGGCCTCCAGTGGGCCTCTTGGGGGCCTCTCGGAGGCCTGTGGGGCTCTCCTGGAAACGTCTTGGGGGGCGCTCAGGGCCATTTTTGGACATCTTTGGGGCCTTTCGGGGGCCTCCAGGGAGGCTCTTGGGGGCCTGTTTGGGGCCTCTTGGGGCCTCGCGGGGCCCTCTTGGGGCCCGTTGGGCTCGCTTAAGCAGTTTTGAAGCCCTGTCGGGGCTCTCCTGGAACCTTTTTGGGCGGCTCCTGGGCCATCTTGGGGCTCTCCTGGGCCGTCTTGGGACGACTTTGGGAATTTTTTGGGCCGTCTTGGGGCGGTCTTGGGGGCCTCTTCGGCCGTCTTGGAGCGGTTTTGGGGGACTCTTGGACGGGGGGGGCCCTTTTTTTAATATTATATATATATATCAAAGTATAATTGATATATATATATATATGTAATATATATGATATATATATGTATACCACATAGACATAAATCTACATATACATATACATTACACATACACACGATATACATTATCCCAGTGCCCATGTACATATAGATATACATATACATATACATATACATATACATATACAAATACATATACATATGTGTATATATGTACATACATACATACATACATACATACATACATACATACATACATACATACATACATACACATATAAATATAGATACGGAAGAAATTGAAATACGTGGAAGGAAGTGGCACGTCTCGGGAGGGCTTGGGGGAGGGGTATATATATATATATATGCACACACATATACATATATACATATATATAGAAACAGACGTAAGACATGTAGGATTGTGTACACAGGAGAAGGACAATATATAGAAACATGCGTACGTCGTCCAAGGCGCCTCGGAAGGCGCCTCGGAAAGCGCAGAATACTCCTCCAAGGCGCGGAATCATGTTCCCGGACCGCCTTCTGGAAACATGATGGGGACGACCTCCTGAGGGCCTCCAGTGGGCCTCTTGGGGGCCTCTCGGAGGCCTGTTGGGCTCTCCTGGAGGCGTCTTGGGGCGCGCTCAGGGCCATTTTTGGGCATCTTTGGGGCCTCTTGGGGGCCTCCAGGGAGGCTCTTGGGGGCCTGTTTGGGGCCTCTTGGGGCCTTGCGGGGCCCTCTTGGGGACCGCTGGGCTCGCTTAGGCAATCTTGAAGCCCTGTCGGGGCTCTCCTGGAACCGTCTTGGGCGGCTCCTGGGCCATCTTGGGGCTCTCCTGGGCCGTCTTGGGACGATTTTGGGGGTCTCTTGGGCCGTCTTGGTGCGGTCTTGGGGGCCTCTTCGGCCGTCTTGGAGCGGTTTTGGGAGACTCTTGGACGGTCTTGGAGCGTCGGAACCCTGAAAAAGCGAGAAGGCCCAAAGCCTAGAAAAAACAATAAAAATCAACGATTTTGGCTTGTCGCGGCTCTCTTGGGAGGCCTCTTGGCATGCCTTCGGGGCCTCATGGAGCTCTCTTGGAACGTCTTCGGGGCTTCCTGGCCATTCCTGAGGCTATCTATACGCGTCTTGGAGCGCTCGCGGGCCGTTTTCGGCGGTCTCGATCTGTTCCTGGCGGTCCCAGCGGCCCTCCGGGACGCTTCGGACGCTCCCGGGGGCGCCCTGCACCCCCCATGGAGATTACAGGCACCGCCCCGGGCCGCCCCCGGGCCCGACTCCGATGTGTATATATATATATATATATATATATATATATATATACAGACATAAACACATACATATCTACATATATATACATATATATATAAATGGAAACATACGTAAGACATGTAGGATTGTGTACACAGGAGAAGGACAATCTATAGAAACATACGTACGTCGTCCAACGCGCCTCGGAAGGCGCCTCGGAAAGCGCAAAATACTCTTCCAAGGCGCGGAATCATGTTCCCGGACCGCCTTCCGGGAACATGATGGGGACGATCTCCTGAGGGCCTCCAGTGGGCCTCTTGGGGGCCTCTCGGAGGCCTGTGGGGCTCTCCTGGAAACGTCTTGGGGCGCGCTCAGGGCCATTTTTGGGCATCTTTGGGGCCTCTCGGGGGCATCCAGGGAGGCTCTTGGGGGCCTGTTTGGGGCCTCTTGGGGCCTCGCGGGGCCCTCTTGGGGCCCGCTGGGCTCGCTTAGGCAGTCTTGAAGCCCTGTCGGGGCTCTCCTGGAACCTTTTTGGGCGGCTCCTGGGCCATCTTGGGGCTCTCCTGGGCCGTCTTGGGACGACTTTGGGGGTCTTTTGGGCCGTCTTGGGGCGGTCTTGGGGGCCTCTTCGGCCGTCTTGGAGCGGTTTTGGGGGATTCTTGGACAGCCTATTTTTATATATACATATATATACATACATATACATACAAACATATATATGTATATATAAACATATATACATATATATACATATACATATACATATGCATATACATATACGTATACATATACATATACATATACATATACATATACATATACATATACATATATATATACATGTACATATACATATACATGTACATATACATGTACATATACATACAAACATACATACATACATACATACATACATACATACATACATACATACATACACATATGTGTATATATATATATATATATATATATACGGAAGAAATTGAAATACGTGGAAGGAAGTGGCACGACTCGGGAGGGCTTGGGGGAGGGGTGTATATATATATATATATATATGCACATATATACATACACATATATATATATATAAATATATAACATACGTGAGACATGTAGGATTGTGTTCAAAGGAGAAGGACAATCTACATAAACATGCGTACGTCGTCCAAGGCGCCTCGGAAGGCGCCTCGGAAAGCGCAAAATACTCCTCCAAGGCGCGGAATCATGTTCCCGGACCGCCTTCCGGGAACATGATGGGGACGACCTCCTGAGGGCCTCCAGTGGGTCTCATATATATATAGATATAGAAACATACGTAAGACATGTAGGATTGTGTACACAGGAGAAGGACAATCTATAGAAACATACGTACGTCGTCCAAGGCGCCTCGGAAGGCGCCTCGGAAAGCGCAGAATACTCCTCCAAGGCGCGGAATCATGTTCCCGGACCGCCTTCCGGGAACATGATGGGGACGACCTCCTGAGGGCCTCCAGTGGGCCTCTTGGGGGCCTCTCGGAGGCCTGTTGGGCTCTCCTGGAGGCGTCTTGGGGCGCGTCTGTATATATATATATATAGGGAAGAAATTGAAATACGTGGAAGGAAGTGGCACGACTCGAGAGGGCTTGGGCGAGGTATGTGTATATATATATATATATATACACACACATCTATCTATCTATATATATATATATATATATATATATAATCTATACAGAAACATACGTAATGCATGTAGGATTGTGTACACAGGAGAAGGACAATCTATAGAAACGTAGTACGTCGTCCAAGGCGCCTCGGAAGGCGCCTCGGAAAGCGCAGAATACTCCTCCAAGGCGCGGAATCATGTTCCCGGACCGCCTTCCGGGAACATGATGGGGACGACCTCCTGAGGGCCTCCAGTGGGCCTCTTGGGGGCCTCTCGGAGGGCTGTTGGGCTCTCCTGGAGGCGTCTTGGGGCGCGCTCAAAGCAATTTGTGGGCATCTTGGGGGCCTCTGGGGGCCTCCCGGGAGGCTCTTGGGGGCCTCTTTGGGGCCTCTTGGGGCCTCGCGGGGCCCTCTTGGGGACCGCTGGGCTCGCTTAGGCAGTCTTGAAGCCCTGTCGGGGCTCTCCTGGAACCGTCTTGGGCGGCTCCTGGGCCATCTTGGGGCTCTCCTGGGCCGTCTTGGGACGATTTGGGGGGTCCCTTGGGCCGTCTTGGGGCGGTCTTGGGGGCCTCTTCGGCCGTCTTGGAGCGGTTTTGGGAGACTCTTGGACGGTCTTGGAGCGTCGGAACTCCGAAAAAGCGAGAAGGCCAAAAACCTGAGAAAAAAACAATAAAAATCGACGATGTTGGTTTGTCGGGGCTCTCTTGGGAGGCCTCTTGGGATGCCTTCGGGGCCTCATGGAGCTCTCTTGGAACGTCTTCGGGCCTTCCTGGCCATTCCTGGGGCTATCTATGCGCGTCTTCGAGCGCTCGCGGGCCGTCTTGGGCGGTCTCGAACTGTTCCTGGCGGTCACAGGGGCCCTCCGGGACGCTTCGGACGCTCCCGGGGGCGCCCTGCACACCCCATGGAGATGACAGGCACCGCCCCGGGGCCCTACTCCGATATATATCTATTATACATAATATATATTATATAATATATATATATATATATATATACTAGACACGCGCGGCGCTTCGCGCGCGCTTAGGTTCTAGTCCAACCCTGGCGCTGTCGAAGAAACAGAGGTCGGGGGGTTCCGGGCGAATCGCAATCGGGAAGGAGTTGTGTCGGTCTTGGGCCGGTTATGGAATGTCGCAGGGGCTCCCTTTGACTGGCTTTGGGGCTTTCAGGCGCTCTTGTGGGGGGGGGGCCAGGTGTCTGTGGGCTCATGGCGCCGTCCAGGGGTTGCCTCTTCCTTGTTCAACGACGCGCAGGGTTGGGCTCTGGCGGGTTCGTCCGGGGAGGTCGCTGAACATTCTTCTTGGGGGTGCATTGACTGCTTTATGATGAAATGTCAGAGGCCGTAGTTCGTAAAGTTTGCTGCTCTTTGGACGTCGTCACATGTTCTTGGCTTGGCTTGCCGAATATGTACAGGAGGGACGAGAAATATGGAGGCAAAACGAAAACTGCCCTAAAATATTATAGCCGGAGTGCAGTATCCCCAAACAGGGTTTTTAGACCCACTGCGGTTTCAAAGGTCGATTGCGTGCCCGTCCAGTGCGGGCTGGCATGGCATGTTAAAACATGCCTCCTCCTCCTCCTCCTCCTCCTCCTCCTCCTCCTGCTCCTCCTCCTCCTCCTCCTCCTCCTCCTCCTCCTCCTCCACCTCCTCTTCATCCCGAACGGCATCTCGGAGCCCAGAGTTGCGAGGATGTCTCCAGCGTGACGGGCTGGACCGCCTGGCGCGCGGCATTTCGGACCCCAGAGTTGCGACGATGTCTCGGGCGAAACGTGCTGCGAGGAAGTCTCAGGCGAAACGGGCCGAACCACCTCGAGCGCGGCGTCTCAGAGCTCCGAGTTGCGGGGGCCTCCTGGGGCCTCCTGGGGCCTCCTGGTGACCTCCTGGGGCTTCCTCCTGGGCTTCCTGTGGCCTCCTGGACCCCACCTGGGGCTTCCTGAAGCCTCTTGGGGCTCCCAGGGGGGGATATCTAACATGTGGCCGTCGGGGCCCCCCAAAATGGGGAGGGGGCCACAAGAGCAGGAAAAATCAACGAATCGACACCGGATGTGTATTAACTGGGCACGTTCTGATAGGGGACCTCCTGGGGCCTCCTGGGAGCCTCCTGCGGACCCCTGGGGCCTGTCCTGGGCGTCCTGCGGCCTCCTAAAGCTCTCTGGGGCCTCCTGGGAGCCACATGTGGTCTTCTGGGCCCCCAGGCTGGACCACCTCTTGCGCGCGGCATCTGGGAGCTCAGAGTTGCGAGAATGTCTTGTGCGAAACGGGCCGGACCACCTTGCGCACGGCATCTCAGAGCTCAGAGTTGCGAGGATGTCTCAGGCGAGACGGGACCGGCCACCTCGGCAGCGCAATCTCGGAGCCCAGAGTTGCGAGGAGTTATCCAGCGGGACGGGTGGACCACCTCGCGCGCGGCATTTCGGACCCCCCAGAGTTGCGACGAGTCTCGGGCGGAAACGTGCTGCGAGGGAAGTCTCAGGCGAAACGGCCCGGACAACTCGAGCGCGGCCTCTCAGAGCTCCGAGTTGCGAGAGGCTCACTGGGGGCATCCGGGACCTCCTGGTGACCTCCTGGGGCTTCCTCCTGGGCTTCCTGTGGCCTCCTGGACCCCACCTGGGGCTTCCTGAAGCTTCTTGGGGCTCCCAGGGGGGGATATCTAACATGTGGCCGTCGGGGCCCCCCAAAATGAGGGGGGGGGGCACAAGAGCAGGAAAAATCAACGAATCGACACCGGATGTGTATTAACTGGGCACGTTCTGATAGGGGACCTCCTGGGGCCTCCTGGGAGCCACATGTGGTCTTCTGGGCCCCCAGGCTGGACCACCTCTTGCGCGGCATCTGGGAGCTCAGAAATGCGAAAATGTCTTGTGCGAAACGGGCCGGACCACCTTGCGCACGGCATCTCAGAGCTCAGAGTTGCGAGGATGTCTCAGGCGAGGCGGGCCGGACCACCTCGCGCAGGGCATCTCGGAGCCCAGAGTTGCGAGGATGTCTCCAGCGTGACGGGCTGGACCACCTCGCGCGCGGCATTTCGGACCCCAGAGTTGCGACGATGTCTCAGGCGAAACGTGCTGCGAGGAAGTCTCAGGCGAAACAGGCCGGACCACCTCGAGCGCGGCGTCTCAGAGCTCTGAGTTGCGGGGGCGTCCTGGGGCCTCCTGGGACCTCCTGGGACCTCCTGGGGCTTCCTCCTGGGCCTCCTGTGGCCTCCTGGACCCCACCTGGGGCTTCCTGAAGCCTCTTGGGGCTCCCAGGGGGGGATATCTAACATGTGGCCGTCGCGGGCCCCCCAAAATGGGGAGGGGGCCACAAGAGCAGGAAAAATCAACGAATCGGCACCGGATGTGTATTAACTGGGCACGTTCTGATAGGGGACCTCCTGGGGCCTCCTGGGAGCCTCCTGGGAATCTCCTGCGGACCCCTGGGGCCTGTCCTGGGCGTCCTGCGGCCTCCTGGAGCTCTCTGGGGCCTCCTGGGGCTCCCAAGGTCCCAGGGGGGATCTGTAACATGTGGTCTTCTGGGCCCCCAGGCTGGACCACCTCTTGCGCAGCATCTGAGAGCTCAGAGTTGCGAGATTGTCTTGTGCGAAACGGGCTGGACCACCTTGCGCACGGCATCTCAGAGCTCAGAATTGCGAGGATGTCTCAGTCGAGATGGGCCAGACCACCTCGCGCAGGGCATCTCGGAGCCCAGAGTTGCGAGGATGTCTCCAGCGTGACGGGCTGGACCACCTCGCGCGCGGCATTTCGGACCCCAGAGTTGCGACGATGTCTCGGGCGAAACGTGCTGCGAGGAAGTCTCAGGCGAAACGGGCCGGACCACCACGAGCGCGGCGTCTCACAGCTCCGAGTTGCGGGGGCCTCCTGGGGCCTCCTGGGGCCTCCTGGTGACCTCCTGGGGCTTCCTCCTGGGCCTCCTGTGGCCTCCTGGACCCCACCTGGGGCTTCCTGAAGCCTCTTGGGGCTCCCAGGGGGGGATATCTAACATGTGGCCGTCGGGGCCCCCCAATATCCAATATGGGGGAGGGGGGGCCAGAAGAGCAGGAAAAATCAACGAATCGACACCGGATTTGTAATAACTTGACACGTTCTGATGGGGGGCCTCCTGGGGCCTCCTGGGAGCCTCCTGGGAATCTCCTGCGGACCCCTGGGGCATGTCCTGGGCGTCCTGCGGCTTCCTGAAGCTCTCTGGGGCCTCCTGGGGCTCCGAGGGTCCCAGGGAGGATATGTAACATGTGGTCTTCTGGGCCCCCAGGCTGGACCACCTCTTGCGCGGCATCTGGGAGCTCAGAGTTGCGAGAATGTCTTGTGCGAAACGGGCCAGACCAACTTTGCGCATGGCATCTCAGAGCTCAGAGTTGCAAGGATGTCTCAGGCGAGACGGGCCGGTGTCTCGGGCGAAACGTGCTGCGAGGAAGTCTCAGGCGAAACGGGCCGGACCACCTCGAGCGCGGCGTCTCAGAGCTCCGAGTTGCGGGGGCGCTCCTGGGGCCTCCTGGGACCTCCTGGTGACCTCCTGGGGCTTCCTCCTGGGCCTCCTGTGGCCTGCTGGACCCCACCTGGGGCTTCCTGAAGCTTCTTGGGGCTCCCAGGGGGGGATATCTAACATGTGGCCGTCGGGGCCCCCCAAAATGGGGAGGGGGCCAGAAGAGCAGGAAAAATCAACGAATCGACACCGGACGTGTATTAACTGGACACGTTCTGATAGGGGGCCTCCTGGGGCCTCCTGGAAGCCTCCTGGGAATCTCCAGGGGACCCCTGGGGCATGTCCTGGGCGTCCTGCGGCCTCCTGAAGCTCTCTGGGGCCTCCTGGGGCTCCCAGGGGGGAGGATATGTAACATGTGGTCTTCTGGGCCCCCAGGCTGGACCACCTCTTGCGCAGCATCTGGGAGCTCAGAGTTGCGAGAATGTCTTGTGCGAAACAAGCCAGACCACCTTGCGCAGGGCATCTCAGAGCTCAGAGTTGCGAGGATGTCTCAGGCGAGACGGGCCGGACCACCTCGCGCAGGGCATCTCAGAGCTCAGAAGTTTGAGGATGTCTCAGGCGGGCTCCCAGGGTCCCAGGGAGGATATGTAACATGTGGTCTTCTGGGCCCCCAGGCTGGACCACCTCGTGCGCGGCATCTGGGAGCTCAGAGTTGCGGGAATGTCTTGTGCGAAACAGGCCGGACCACCTTGCGCACGGCATCTCAGAGCTCAGAGTTGCGAGGATGTCTCAGGCGAGACGGGCCGGACCACCTCGCGCAGTGCATCTCAAAGCTCAGAAGTTCGAGGATGTCTCAGGCGAAACGGGCTGGACCACCTCTCGCGCGGCATCTCCGAGGTCAGAGTTTCGAGGATGTCTCATGCGAAACGGGCCGGACCACCTCGCGCAGGGCATCTCAGAGCTCAGAGTTTCGAGGATGTCTTAAGCGAAACGGCCCAGACCACCTCTCGCACGGCACCTCGGGGCTCAGAGTTTCGAGGATGTCTCAAGCGAAACGGCCCGGACCACCTCTCGCGCGGCGTCCCGGAGCGCAACTTTTCGAGGATGTCTCAGGCGAAACGGCCAATCCCGGCCAACTCAGAAACGAGAGTTGTGAGGATGTCTCAAGCGAAACGGCCAGGACCATCAAATTTTTGTGAGGATGTCTCTGCTCCGACTTCCCTCGGCCAGAGTTAGCTTCTATCACAACAGCACCCCGTTCAGCAAGCTGTTTGGGGAAAAATGCACGCGCTGCCACGCCAGCTGGCGGAGAACGTGCAGAAGAAACGAGGAATGCCAGAGGAAGCGGTGGAGAGAGCGACGCTGACAACAAACGCGCGCACGCGCACATGTTTGTCTCCGATGAGGCGAAACACCAACCTGCTGAGCACGCTGGAACTCACGAGGCCTGTCGGAAGGTGCGCCTTGGCGCTCCATCCCCCTTCAAAAACGGCACCAGCGGCACATCTTCAGTACCGCTGCGACGGAGAATCGGCACGGAGACGTTCACGGGCATGTGCCTCGGATATCGACCACTGGTAGACTTTGCACCAACGGCGTCCGAAGGTTCAGCAGCAGCAGCAATTCAGCACGGGATGACGAGGGAAGCGAAGGGAGGGGGAGTAGACTCAGGGGGGAGGATGCGAGGGGGTGAAGGAAGAGAGGCAGGATGGAGGAGAGGGAGGCAGGGTGTGCCTCGTTCGGCCATCCCCAACACTTCCAAACATCAGCGTGCACTTTCCTGCTTGCACACCACATGGTTCGGAGATGAACATCAAGCCCTGACCTCTCAAAACCAGCCGGGCTAGGCGAACACGACGAAAGACAATACAAAGGACCAAACCACTTTGGCAACGATCGTAACCACGATGAAGGCCTTCATCCGGAAATGCATGACAGCGACGCTCATGCCCTGGTCCTGCGGAAACAACAAGAAACCCTTGCCCTGAGCGATCTCCAGGGGGAGCTGCTGCGAACGGTCATGGGGTCTGTTGTGTGATTCTACAAGTACTATCTCACATCACTGCTTATGTATGGTTGGTCGGTGTTCATGTTCTGCACGCTTGGTATGCGCGAGTTGCGTTTCGTGTGCTACTCGTGCGCACTAGATATGTGCGTTATGAACCTTGCATGCGCGCGATGACGATATTGGCTTATATATTGTGTGTGCGTTTATTATGTGTTGTCTGTGATTGATGTATGCTGCTGCAGTACTGTGCTTCACGAACTTACGCCATTGGTGTGGTTTCCTGATGTATGTGATGAACATATGGCCGTACTTTACGGCACTGGCTGTGTTGCAGGTGCATGCTATTACTGTTGTCAAACATTGCCATGTTATTACTGCGTGTACGTGATGTATGTGTTGATGTACGCTGCGTGTGAAAGATGTATGTTGTAATCGGCTGGCCTTGGCAGATGAGTATTTCCTCTGAGAATCGGGGTAAGATGACAAAGGAATTAAGGTCTCATGTTGACTCTGCTCAGTAGTAGAGAATACGGGATGAAACATCGATGAAACTACAAGTAACCGTTAAGCAATTGTACTCAAGAGTGGGAAGGGAGGAGGCCGGCCGGCCGACGACCGACGACACGCGGCGGCCGAGGGCAGGCGCGCTCCTTTTCTACCCTGTAGGCACAAATAGCTGCGGTGCAAAGCCGCAGTGTCAGGGTGCGGCAAGGAAGGCAGCGAGAAAGGCAAGTGTAAGATGAGGCGGAGAGGAGCATATTCACTCCCCCCGCGGCGGGCTTCGTAGGGCCCATCCAGCCACAGCTCGCCTGGCCTGTACATATATACAACCACCGGTGGGAACCGCAAAAACTTTTACCGCTCAACGGTGGCTGCCAGGCAGCTGAGGGCCGAAGAAACCCGACGATTTCCACCAATAGTTTAATACATTCTCTCTGCCGATACGACTTTGTCGATCGGTTGAGCCCGCAGCGACTTGATCGCGCGGGCTCGGCCTTCTCTCAGATCTTGTTCTCAGGATATCCCAGCGATGGCGGAGACGGAGGTTTCGGATGTGAAGATGACGAGCCTCCCGTCTGACCCGCGGCCCAATGGGGCGAGCGGGATCTGGGCCCCTTGCCACGGCCAGCGTAAGGCGCTGGCCTGTTGCGCTTGTCCTTGTTCTTGGAGTCCTTTCCTTTCCTCGGAAAGTAGTAGTTGTAGTCATTCGTGTACACCGCATGCCACACGCGTGACTGGTTGTCCCTCGGGGTCATCCAGGATATCACGTCCCGGCGAACCCAGCATCCACCCAGCGCATCATTGGTGTAGAGCGGGCGGTGCTTCGAGGGGTCGCAGCCGGCAGCCCCGCGGCCGACATCCATGGCTCCGCCGCGCGCGCGCGCAAGCCTCGACCAATCCCGTGTCCCTGTCAGACGAATACCATGAATACTCATCTCCTGCCGCAGCGGTTTGACCGCCGGCAGAGTACGGGGATTCCGTGGCTTCATCGTTAGCCCGATCGTCTTGGACTTCGGGTCTGCGTGGAGGAGGTGGCGGTCTGGGCCTCGCTTTCGCCAAAGCGGGCCCCTCCGAATCGGCTTGGCCGTCGGGGGGCCCCTCAGCGCCTCCTCTCTCACGAATGGTCATCACTCGCTTTCTGGCGAATCTAGTAATATCCCTTGCGGCGGTGGCAACAAGAATACCAAACTTGCCGCAGGCACCACGAAAGTGGCCTTATCTTTGTCTTGAAGCTCAGTGGCTTCCACATGTGGGCATAGCCAATGAATAGCTTCTTGTAACTGCATGCCCTGACAACGGATATCGGTACGAGCCTGTTTACCCAAATTACGGGCCCATTCCTCAATGAGATCGTCTGTCTCAATCGCCACACGAATGCGGCAATCAAGAGCGCATGCATCCTTTCGACGCTTGTCATCATTATAATCTACGCCGGTGCCTCGGGCAGAAAAATGAGCCCCAGGGTATGCAATGCAATGTCCCTCTGCGACGAAACAACTAATGATCTCGCGAACAATCGCAATCACACGAATAATGCGAAGGCCCAACTCCAGTACTTGAGCAGGGACCTTCCAGTTCCAATCAATGGTGCTGCGCACATTTTCTGGGACTTCATGCGTTACTTCGCCCGGTAGTCGTAACCTTTTCAGGGTCATTTGCCTCCAGGCGATAGCGAGTGCATTCCATGACATATTGAGCGGCCACTTCTTTGGCTCCGTCCTCGGCCAACGTATTCTTCAAAGAATTGTCGTCGCGACGGGAATGCACGTGCCCATTGGGCTGATCAAGATTGATTTTCCCGCCAATTATCTGCTCGGTGTGGGGCCCGCAGATTGCAGTGAAATCAAGGGTCATGTGTATGTTCTCCTCGCCTGCCGTCGCGGTTGGACCGGCGGCAGGTTTGTCATGCGTGCACACTGAAACGAGAGGGTGCTCGGAACACATTCTGTTACGCCTGCTGACGGACTGGGAAGCACGACGAGGACGTGCCACAAAGTTATTTGGCCAAGCAACCGGTGGACGTCCACGTAGGCTGGGCCCCGCGACGTCCATGGCGTTGCCCTATCAACGGGCAGCCAGGGTGCTGTTCCATCTTTTGCGCTGCGCAATGTCCGAAGCGTTGGCGCGAAGATGTTCGCTTTAGCCACGTTGCGCTCCCATTCGAACCAACTTTCTATTGGTTCAAAGCGTGTGTCAGGGTCCTCTGGCCAGTCAAAGGCAGCCAGAGCAAGGCAATACATGGGACGCGCATACTGGTCAATTTCTGTTGCCCAAAGAAAGGGCCACCACTCTGCGATCGTTGGGGCTTGAGTCGCCTCTCTCTGAGCCAAGTGTGCGAGCCATTTGATGAATCGCCTCTTCAGAAGCTCGAAGTACTGAAAGAAAAGACCGCGACGCGCCGGCGGCTGGGCCGCGGCGTGATCAGGGACCCAGGCAGGAACACTACATGTGCGGCTGTTTCCAAAGGTTTGACCCGAAGCAGCCAAACGTCTATACTGATTATTCGTTGTCCACTTGCGCTCCCCTCTGGCCTCGACATGCTCGCGCGTGCCATCGCATCTGCGCTCAAGTCCCGCCGTCGCGCCTGGAGACGTGGATGCAATTGTCCTGGGCTTTTTCATGAAATTACCCTTGCTGTCCCTCAATCCGTGCGCACATCCATGCAAAGCCGTTTTGACAAACTCCAACTCTCTCATGAACTCTTTCACCTGGGGATCCCTCCAATAATTACATTGAGTTGGCCACTCAATGCAAAGCGCACCCCCCGCTTTGTGCGCGGCGCGGGCAATCTCGCGGAAATTTAAGAACAGATACCTGAAGTCTGTTCTAATGCCTCGAAGCCTACGCATCGCTCTATGGTCCCCAATGTCAAAATAATGGGCTTCGTTCGCGCATTGCCAGGGGGAACCTCCTGTGCAGGGCATTGAGCCCCATAGCGTGATGTATTTTCCTTTGAATGTCTTTATGTCATTCAGAGCCAATCTTCGACCCTCATACGTTCTCATATCTTCCTTCTCCGTATACCGAATTACCTTACATGAATCGTCGACGAAATTCTTGGGATTTCCGATCCTGCTCTGAGGGCCACAACAATATTCTAACAAGAATCGGTCCCCGGTCAACTAGGTGGCCGGGACACAATCTTCCCGGATTCAGAATTCCGCCCAGCCGGTCCATCTACATGGGTGAAAGTCACCATCGCTGGAGTCGCCATTTGAATTATGCATAAAGGGGTGATGATATTTATTATCTCCGTCGCGCCAACTATCCGTACGGTCTACAGTCAAACCAGGTTGAAATTTGATGTCATAAGTACGACGCCTATCATCTAATCTATTCGGGTCAACCGGGCAATCGGTATTTGCTGGTATAAATGTGTCAAGTCTGGGAACAAAGTGCCATCGTTTAAGACTCTGTCCGTGTTGTGTCCATTGGTCCCTCCTATCCTGGAAGTTAGCAACAGCCGCAGGCGGAAGGTGAGGGAGAAGAAGGTTGTATCCGAACATATCTTGGTCGATGTCAACTGACTCAACGCTCGACCGTTCTTCACATCTCTTTCACCAAATTCGATGTATCAGATTCAGTTCCGCTGTCGGTTATATCAAACATCGCTCTCATCTCAACCCTGGAGCTTTTCTTGGTTGTCTCTTCCATCGGTCTGGATTTCTCGGAGCTTGTCCTGGAACCTTCTTCGGTCGAAACAGGAGTGGTTGCACGTGCTTCCACGGCTTGGCCAGGCGCACTCGCCACCGCAGCTTGGGCGGGGGCGTTCGCCACCACGGCTTGGCCGGGGGCAGCCTCGTCACCAGCCGGGCGCTGAGCGCCGCCAGGTGCCGCTGGGGTGTTTATTGGTTTTGAAAAATGCACAGCGGGCTTACCCTTGTTGGGGCGCTTCATTTTCTTGTTCACCTTTTTGCTCGGCGCAGCAGCTCCTCTCCGCAAAGCCGAACTCGGACCTAAGCGGGGCTTCAGAATCCCCCCTGGTTTCAGGGGAAGACCGTCTGAAAACGTCGAATCTAAATAGTTTTGGCACCGCTTAGCGGTCCAAAATTTGGGAGTCACAACGTTGACGAGGTAGAATACATTAACTCAGGCCAAAGGGTCAGTGAACATCTTCGCTCCAATGTCGGCGACTTCGCTTGGAGTCCTTTCGCACTGAAGTTCAACGATACCTCGAGAAAAATTGTTCTGACACAGCTGCAGCAGCAATGCGATGGGTTCGCGGTAGATGCATGAGCTCCATGGGCCCTCCAGCTTTGATGACCTTACATGCCGCCTGTTTGTCCTCTAAAAACAAACAACGTATTTCTCTTCCAAGCAATATTTCCCAAAGCGGAATGGCTGCAAGCAGCTTTTTTTTCGCAGGCAAGGTCAGCAGCCGCAATCTCTGCCTCAAGGGTGCCATGGGAAACGCATGTCTGCCGCTGCGAGCCCATAGACTGCCCAGC